CTCTCTCTCAGGTTTCTCTCTGATTCCACCATTTCCACCTCTATCATTGCGCGTGCGCAATACAAAACCGGATGTGTATGTTTGTCCATCATACGTAATAGGGTGCTACTGTACAATTTCTCTCATTTTTTTTGCACGTTCCATCGCACTTCTTGGACAAGACTGATGAGAGTTAGAGCGTTGGTTTCTACGATATTCTGAGAAATTATCGCATTGAAAATCTTCCGCATGAATTCGATTCGAATTAATTGTTAATTTGCAGCTGAACCGTGAGCGGGTTCGTTTGTTTGTCCTTGACGCGACCGATGTGGAGACTCCACGCGAGTCTCCTCGATAAATCGTTCAAAGATGCAAACGCAGGAGACTGAAGGTGCAGATGGTGAGTAAATATGCTTTCTGAACTATAAAAGACACTTTGATATAATGTCTCAAGTTTTCTGTTATTCGTAAGATGGCTGTTTTCTTATTCCTCGGATAACATAACCTTGACTCGTTTATCAGTTTCATTCCCGTTCTTTACCATATTATTCCGAGATATATTAATTCCAAACCCTAATTATTTGTCAAGAATAGATTTTGTTCACGTTGCTCGAAATCCCCAAAATTTTTTACACTTAGAACAAAATAAATATATTCGAGTGTTGAAAAGAGAGAGGTTGCTAAGTGAGTGCAAAAAGTGCAAACAATGCCAACAGATCTAATGTTTGATTTACTTACTTTCGTTTGCAAACTCTTTTGATCTACTCGAGAAAGTACGCATAGAATGAAATGAAAAATACATAAAATATCGTTATTAGTTTTCTAAAATTTTCTGTCCTGTAGAATCATCTTTTTCACAATCTTTTGGCATTTGTAGTTATTGATTTGTCTGCGCATACACAACATTTTAGTATCCTATCAATATGGATATCAATTATTATATTGCACTGAAATACGCGGAGTCTTTCTTCTCTCAGGATCTCCATGGAATAACTCTAGTGGCTGCGATGAGGAACGTAGGCTGGCTTCAAAGGAGGGTAAAAAGTCAAATGTGTTGCCACTATGGGGCAACGAGAGGACTATGAATTTGAATCCTTTGATTCTCACCAACATACAGTCGTCGCATTATTTTAAGGTGAATCTGTACGAACTCAAGACCTATCATGAGGTGATAGATGAGATCTATTATAAGGTCTCTCACTTAGAACCATGGGAAAAAGGCAGCAGAAAGACTGCGGGCCAAACTGGCATGTGTGGAGGCGTGAGTATGTTTTTTCAACAACATCGGATTTTTTCTTTTTATCTTTATCTTTGTTTTTTAATTATTAATGCATTTGTTGAAAGTCTAAGGCTTAGGAAACATGTTGCACAAATATATTCGTTTGTACAGAAAACTGATTATATTGCACTAGCCAGCGACCTATGGGCAAATTGTCAAATGAGAGTAGTAAGGTGATTTGAATGTAGCAATATATATATATATATATACACACACATATGTATATATA